TGTAGGGAAGGTTTGTCACAGCTCCACTGCTGCGGAAGAAAAGAGCATTTAGGCAGTGAAGAGATTCACTAGATACCCAGGCTTCCTTCATTTAGCCTTTTGTCATATCCTAAATTCTTTGAAAATATCTTACAGCTTACCCAGTTGGCCCTTTTTATGTCTGTTCACAGAGATAATACTGCTCGGGTTTTGTTTCATAAATGTTAATGAGGAAATACAGTTATTTATTAACAGGAAAGCTGGGAACAGACACAGAAAGGTGGGTTTTATCTGACCTACAGTAAATTGCCCTTTAGAAAGAAAATGCCCGGTATTTTCCTTCCTTGTGCAAGGTACCGAGGGCATTCAAAATAAGAACAGGCAACATAATGTTGAGAGAAGGATACATATAAAAATAGAGATGTGTGTATGTGTATATATATATACACATACAAACGTGTTTCAGACAGGAATAGACTTTGTAAATATTTTATATAACTATATATGCTTGTAAAGGCCATTCCTGCCCCATTTGAAAGCCTGTAAGCTGCAATGTATCATTCTGATCCCAGGAAACAGATGGGTACTCCGGCTCAGACATAAAACTCGTGTGCAAGGAAGCAGCCATGCGACCAGTGAGGAAAATTTTCGATGCTCTTGAAAATCACCAGCCAGGTACTGCAGCTCTGAGTAGAGAATCTGATCTGGGAAATGGTGATCTACTGCTCTAACTCTGGAAATTATAATGTTGGCCCCAGCAGGTGGAGCTCTGTTACCTGCTCCGAAAAGTTTTAAACTACTTTTTTAAAACATCCACCTGAGCTAACATTTCTGAAAATTAGGCCTTTTTTTTAAAGCTGTATCTATGCTCTGTGCACAAATACAAATTCTGCTTTATCTCAATAGGTTTACTCTTTTGTTTTCATGTATTAAGTGTTGCATTAGGCAGGAACATAAAAGAATGTCTTTTGGCAATAATAGCAGTATTTAATAATTTTTTTCTCTTTAGGTAACAGTAACTTCCCCGTGATCCAATTAGACACGATCACAACTGCAGATTTCCTGGATGTGATCGCCCACACCAAACCATCAGCAAAGAATCTAAGCCAGAAGTACACAGCTTGGCAGAGAGAATTTGAGTCAGTTTAAAAAGAAAGAAAAAAAACCCAAAAGATTGAAAATTTCCAAGATTTTTGCTATCCAAAATGGCATTGCCTTGCCTCCAAAGGATCGAACGGTGAAGGGGGAGGAAGTGCTGCTGTTTCCAGGGAAGAGAATGCAGTGACAAATGTCAGGGGGAAATTTTCACTTTCAAAATTTAATGTGGGGGGTGTTTGGTTATTTTTTATCAGCCATTTTCGATGACAATTCAAAACACATTCTTCATGGAAGTAACATAATGACAGTTGCTGTGTAATGAAGACCCCAGACTTAACTGTATGGATAAAGACTTAAAAAATTGATTGCTTCTCTGTCTTTATTCACAACAGTTCTTTACAGGTTTGGGGTAGAAGAACTGGAGCAGAAAGCCTGTTGAGAACAGTTAGATGATTAGTGTAATTCTCCCTTTCTGAGACCCACTACAGCATCACAATCAGCAGAGACCTGCACCCTTTTTTTATGAAAACGTGACTGCTTTCAGTGAAATCGAGGACCTTAGCAGTGCCTCGTAAATTTGGTTAGCTTGTCATTGTTTTCAGCTGAGATCAAAGCCTGGATATGCCAAATGTGTTACTTTCCAGATGGTCTGGGCTATTTCCGAGGATGAAAAGGCAAGGAATTAGAGGAACTTGGCGACATTGTAGAAAATTAGCAGATTTAGGCTAAGTAACTAGAAGCTGGATTGGTGGTTACTCACTGTTTGCAAACAGTGAGTCTTTGCAGAGCAGTAGTAAATACTAGCCAAGTCAGAGACTTTTCTGCTTACATACAGTCAGGACTGCCGTGTGTCCTTTAATCTTTTAATTCGAAATACTAATCAGTCATCTTTTTAGGCTCTCAGGTCTCATTGCTGCCCCTGTCTTGCTTGGCAAGACAACTAGTTATCCTCTTTGCAGTTCTCCCAATGTTTTCCTTGCATGAGCTTGTGTTCAGCTGCTTTTGTAAGTACCGCCATCTCGCATGCTTTCCAGTGTGCTCCGGGACCTCAGAAGCACTGATAGTCTCTTTTTTCGTTCTAGCGTCACTCATGTTGTCACAAGTCCTTTATGGGAAATGTCTGCACAGGATTTTGCTTACAGACCTCTCACCTCCTGAACCTGACCCTGACTATGGGCCTGTCCTGGTTTGAGGTAAAACAGGACCAATTTTGTTCAGTAACTTTGCTTCTTAGCTGGGCCTCTTCTAACTACTGAAGTTAACAGCGTATTGTGCAGACAGTGTTTGCCCTCAGAGTGATAACAGACCTATGTTTATAGTTGATGCCAAGGCGTGGTATGTGGAGAGGCTCTTGCTTATACGTATTGCTATAGCACCAAGGCCAACCAACTTTGTTACTTGCCCCGTTGGAGGGTCAGAAGTGGAAAAATGCAGTGGTGTCCCACCTGTGGAGAGGAGCAGACAGGACAGGTGACCCCAAACTGACCAACAGGGTATTCCATCCCATCTGCCTCATGCTCAGTATAAAAACGGAGGGATCAAAGGGTCAGCCCTCTTTCTTCAATGGCCGACGTCTGAGGAGGGCTCTATCTGTTTGTCTGCCTTTGATCCCAATCCTGAATCCAGTTCCCATCCATCACTGAGTCCAGTCTGGGACTTCCCCAGTGCCCACCGGCGATGTGACTGTCATTGTGGGAGCTTGATACAGTTTTGTATATATTTCATTATTTTCCTTTTTAATTTTATTATTAATATTTCATTAAAGTAGTTTAGTTCCTTCTAAAGTCATTATTCTCTTTTTCCCTCCTCTGCCTCTCTCTTTGAAGAGGGGTAGAGGAGAGCATCTGTGGGTCCCACCTGGGGTCCCCCACGTCCCCAGTAGCCGATTTGACCTAAACCACGACAGGGCCAAAGACCTCTCCGATATACTCCAAGCAGAAGCTAACACAGGTTCAGAATTGTTGGCATCAACACCAGATGTGTGAATTTATTCAAAACTGTAGGTTATAATTTATGAGGGCTCACAAACAGTATCTAAAGACAGCTTTTCTTCCTGCGGGAGGATTGTTTCTTGTATTTCTACTGCAAAGTCTACTCCATCCACACATTCTGTCTCAGACAGAGATTAAATCTGAGACTGCAGACAGACAATCTTTCATGTAAGGAGAGTGTCCCATTCATTCATCATGATGAATCCTCTTAACAAGAACAAGCATGGCTCATTAGCACAAAACTATATTTTCAATAAGGTTAATACTCCAGCAATGTATAATTACAATCTAATAATTTAACACTCAGGAGCACTGTAAAACAAACTGTAAAGGACTTTGATTATTACAGTTTGCAAATGGACCAGAAAAGCTATTTCCCATCATTACAAAGTTGGTTCATATTGGGGGATTTAGCGCCGAGGAAAAAGCACTGCATACTACAGAATTAAATTTCATTTTACAGCTCTACTAACCAACTGTGTAAAAACTGGAATCTGTCCCCATGGCTTGTGAAGGATTTTTCCCATTACATTAAAAAGAAACAAAAAAAGCCTCAACAATAGTGAAATTTTGCAACTGTAGCATTAATAGGACCCTGCTGAAGTCTAATTTCAAAAATTCGGTGTCTCTAAGGCATTTAATACCAGATTTTTGTTTCTGTACCATTCTTTTTAATAACAGCATCTAATTAAAACATCTGTAAAATGCTGACAGTTTTAATTTTATGTAAAATCTGAAAACACAAAAAAACCAAGATCTGTTCTAATGAGAAGAAAGATATCAACAGTAGTTATTATTAAACAATGGTGATATTTTAATTTAAAAGTCACTTCTAAATGTGCATAATCTCTATCTTTAAATTAGATCAGAGCAGAAGCATACTCAGTGAAATCACTACAGGCTGACTAAGGCTCTGTTAGTCTTTGAGGTTTATTTACTTGAGTATTTCCAGTGGCTTTTTTTCAGTTTAGCTTATTCAGCAGCAGAAGGCGGCACTTTCCAGACGGGGCTTTTCATCAGTTATTTCTTGAAAACTGAAAATAAACAGAACTCTCTGCCACACACTCCCTACGTGGCTCAGGAAAGCAGCTGTGTTGGTTGCAGCCTGTCCGTCTCACCTGCTGAGCATCTGCAGTCCCTCATCACATCCTCATGAAACTACTACAGGAAAGGGGCTTCACAACTCTGCCCTTCACAGCTCAAGTGGAAGGAGCTCACGGCTGGGTTTCTGATACAATGCACGCATTGATCCTCTGACCTTAATTTTTGAAGTAAGAGTAAAGGAAATTATGTGACACAGACATTTCTTCAAACTAACTATTCCCTTTCTCATAGCAGACGCTCTAGGATATGTTCCACTGCCTCTGGGAAATTCTCACAGGTTAAGTAAGGAGCCGGATTGATTTTGTCTTCATCTGCCGGTCGATATTTACCTGTAACAGATTAACAAAAAGATGCATTTACCAAGCTCCTGTGGGTATGTCTTTTTTTCACTGAAAATTACAGCCTCCTCAGATCAGTAACAACCAGACACAATAGGAGGAATGCCCATCTAAGGTTCTCCTGCAACAAACTTCTCACGATCCTCCCTAAACAAACACTGAGCCTTACTGAATATTCCACCGGGGGCAGCTCTGGTTCAAAATTAGCGTTACTTATGCACTGGTTTCACTCTACTGGCACTATTTGCTCACTGACTATTCAGATATTCGTGTTGTAGGTTCTTGAAATAATAATGTTATCATCTTCCCTTCTGGGTTTTATGAGGAAGAGTAGGATTACTTGCTTTCATTTCCAACATAATGGACTGTGGGGCGTGAGCAGCTGCCACCTCAGAAAGACTTTAACCAGACCATGGTACCATCAAGAACATTGATAATACCCGTTAGCCCCTTCAGGTTCCACTTTTGTCTGAGGAAAAATGACTTTTATAATTATCAGTGTAATTACTACAGAATATCACAAGTTCCTGAATGATGAGAGGTTACATTTGGGTGATCCAAGATGTCACAGTAACGGTTCTCTCTGTTCTTTGACCAGTGCTTGGGACTTCAGAGTCATTAGAACAAAAAATTCACACCTACAAGATCAGCTGCCCCATCTATTATCTCTTATCATCCTGCTATCTGTTCAGGGTCTGTGCTCTAGCCCTGCTTTTGAAACATTAAATATGGTCTACAGCCTATCTTGACTGAATTGCAATCTACTGCTTACAGGCTGCCACGCTGCAGCTGAAGAAATGTATGTGCTGAATTCACCCCAAAATGAACGGGGTGATGGAGTAGGGGTGTCCCAGCAGCCCCCTGGTGTAACAAACTGCAGGAACGGTGGGACTCACAAAGCACCAGGGCTCAACCCAGGGCTCAGAGCGTACCTTCGCTTTGGGCACGGGGGCTGCCCGTACCCAGGGCCAGATCACCGAATGCACCACTGTCTCCCGAAATGGCCGCTCCACCGGGTACTTACCGGTCCTCACCAAAATCCCACGCATGCCCGCATTCTGGGCGCCACCAACATCATCCCTGCAGTCCTGGGACAGAGCAGGAGATCAGCTGGTTAGTGGTCACAGACGCTATTTCTTAACAAGTTTTTCATTACATTCTCTGCTTTGCACATCACTAACCAGCCACTCAGAAGCACCTACACGGAGTCAAATCTTTTAGCTACCTATTAGACAAACTGTCACAAGAATGATTTACTACATGCTTTTTGCCTGATCAAACAGCGACTGAACTAAGACCGCTAACCCCAGGGACCACACATTAAACCCTGCAAATTCTGGTATTTCAATTTTCACCCCTTGTTTAATCCCAGCGCTTTTAGAAAGACCAGTTTGTGAGACAACGACACACAGTGGAGATGAGCACTACGTAAACAGGCAGGTGATAAAGTATTTGGTCCCCACATACATCACCAATCATGATGGCCTCCTCTGGGGCGCAGTCAGTCCCCCGCAAAGCTTCCAGGAAGAAGGTTTTCTCTGGCTTCCCCACCACTGTCGCTTTGGTGTCCGTCGCGTATTCCAGTCCAGTTACAAAAGGTCCAGGTCCCAGAGCCAAGCCGTCTTTTTTCTTGAAATATCTGGCTTTATGTATAGCTATAAGAGGAGCACCATCCAAAATCAACCTAAAGAATGAATGAATGGAGAAGAAAGTACAAAAATTATACTAAAGAGAGGATATTTACAGTTGAAGGCCTGAACTGGCTTTCGTTTAAGTTGATGACACTGACTTTCATGAAGCCCCAAATAATAATGCAAGCTAGCAGTCATTTGGAGAGTTAAATAAAGTTCCTTCTTTTCCCCAGAAACAGCTAGTAAAACAAATCCCCCAAATAAAGAATTTATTATCTCGAGGATTTTAACAGGTAACTATTTTTAAATCCTGTCTACATCTCTCATGTAATTAGGCCCATTACTCTAAGCAGCCTCACTTTTCACTACGGCAAACCTCCTAACGTTAGAACTTGTCTGATTTCCCCACGCAAATATTTTAAAATACGTTAACCATAGGTGGCAGCTGTAGGTAGCGGTTTGATGGCCAGAGCCTCAGTCTCCTTGCCTGGATTGAGAACACAGCAGTGCTTTCAGGATGCTGCAGCCAGGAAATCCACAGCCCAGCAGCTCTCGGGGCTGTCGGTATAGCCTCTAGCAGCCGAACAGCTATGTGTTTCCAGCAGACGGGTGTTCAGGTGAGTCCCGGGTACAGGATAAATCACTTTACCTGAACTTATATCCTAACACTGGAGGAATTACAATAATAATTTACACAAAAAGGCACAAAGATATTAGGTGTGTTCACATCCCACCGAATTCCCCAGTTAACAGCGCTATTACTGAGCCTTTCAAAAACAAAGCTGGATTTGAGCTCCTTGCGATCGGGAACCAAAAATTCCAAGTGGAAGACAGTTCAAAGCAACAAGTCACCAGATTCTTAAGACTTCTGAGTACAATAAAAGGCTCGCAGAATATGGGTCATAATGCACGATATGGCAGCGTTACGGGAGGGTATTGGCTGTGCACTGCACCTGGGAGTTTCGGGAAGCGAGTGCAGCGGTGGGCTGAGACTGGGAACTGCTCCCTGCCCAACAGCCCAGACCCTCCCACCTTCCACTGCCCCGACACACCAGCGTGCACCCTCCTCGGGGTTCCACAGACACCATCTCTACCTGCCAGCTGACCTACCTGTTAAAAACCTGCACAGAACAACACAGCGTTGTCCGGACTGGGTGGAAAAATGTAAGAGAAGAAGTAATTAAGAAACTGCTGTTGCTCCACCGATCTCAATCAGCGCCTCCTTAGCCTCGCTACCCTGTCACCCCCATCAATTCACTTCATGTCTGCTCAAGGGCTCTTCTCTAATGCTTGCCTTGTGGCAGGGAGCATGTCTCGTTAGCACACACAGTGCCTGAACAGTGGTCCGTGACAGCAAAGTAACAAACAGGAGTTTACGAGGGCTTGCTTTCACAGAATCTGGACCTAACTATTTGATTCTTCCTTTTCTGTTACGTACCTGGTAGTTTTTCCTTACAGCAGACACAGCAGCTAGCTGTCCTGCAGCCAAGGGAAGCCCACCCAGCTGCTGCGCTGGAGGAATCCTCCGGGTACTACCAAGCACAGCGATGTTATTGCAGCCCTCCCCTTCCCCAGTCTCAGTTTCAGTGCAACAAAGGCCCTCCAGACAGGATCTGTAAAAGTTCGATTTTACAGCACCTTCTTCAGGCACTGCAGGCAACACCAGTCTTTATCACAACAGGTAGGAATGTATCTAGCAAAGCCAAGGGATAGACGGTAAATGTTGGCCATCATTTTCAAGGCAGAAAGCAGGATTTCTTTTCCCCTTAACCCCACTTGATTTACAGGAAAAAAAAAAAAAAAGCTGGTAAGAAAACACAAAAAATCATGCTTTGCCCCTTCACTGCCTTTCTGGAGCTCTGCTGTGGCTCTGCTCAAAGTGGCTGGCCGAGGTGAGTTGTACGCTCCTTGGAGGGCATCTGCACCTTCCCACATGCTTGCAGAGCAGCCCAGGTACTCTGAGCAGTACATAAATGACAATATTTCATTTCACTTAATTATCACAAATCAATGCCTTCCAAAGCAAGCTCAACAAGAAGAGAGCTGGCATGTGTATCTGTGAGCAGCCAGATGGGAGGATGCCTCTAGGATACAGGAAAATTTAATTTGACAGCAACACCACAACCACTTACATTCAGCAGTTCGCAGGAAAGATCTCACCTGAGAGAATTCTTTTAAATGTGGCATCAAAATCCCATGTATACAAAAAGAGAAATTTAGTCTCAGTCATTTCAGATGGTGCCTAGAGAATGGCCTTACTCTGTGTATCTCGTTTTGGGACTCATAATGGGTTAGATTTACCTAACCTAATGTTGGATATCAACCGAGCAGTTGCCTACCAGGTAATTAGTCAGCCTGGGCTCTTCACAGTCAGTGGAGAAGAAAAAGCACTTCTAGGGCACAGTTCAACTGTCCTATTTTAAGCACTACTAGGGGAAAAATGAATGATGTCTTACAAGTGCCTCTTCTCTCCCTCAGGAGCCCAGATCACCAGCTCAGATACAGGCATCGGCACTGTAGATATCTGCATTTAATCAGATTCACCTTAAAGTTTTGCTATGAGCAACGCAAATCCCAAGTGACTTAATTATCTGAGCAGTAAAGGACAAGGAATAAAGTAAAGGACACGGCATAAGGCTGGAGAAGAGAATGCGGGCAGTAGTTAATATTTCCATTACACCAAACAAAACTGACACCAGCAAAACAGTTTACCCTCAAGACAGGACTGGGGGAAAAACCCAGAAACTCAGTGAGATGTTAAAGATCACACACAGCCTACCCTAGGGCCTCTGCCCAGCCTGAAACAGAGGACCAGGGAAGCACTGGGCAAATCCAGGACAGATTCACAGAGGATAAAATCCTCCTCCAGGCAGACAAGTCAGCCAAGCGGCTGGGAACGTGTCTGCACAAGGCAAGGTGAGCTGAAGGACTCAGCCTTGTTCAGTACCCAGCTGCACCACTCAGACAGCCCTGGCTATAGGATGCTCAGGCAGCACGCACTGCATACTACCCCTCTGGATACATGTCTCTTTTGGGCTGCAAGGCCACGCCATGCCCACCGCGAGAGACTGGATTTGGCCTTCATCACCTTTCTTTCATCGCCAGAGCGAGTGTCCAATTCTGTCTTCAACACCAAAAACCCAAATCCAGCCTGGGATGCCCTCGCCCACCTCCACAGGGCCAGCTCTGCAGGATTTCCAGCGTGTGCTGGCCTGGGGAAGCCCAGGGCCCTCAGGGACTGAACGTGATGACTGGTTTCTTGTTTTAAGTGTCCTGATCTCCAGCCCGAGGCAGCCAGTGACTATTATTCAACGGCTAATATATTCAGGACAGAAATATCAATAAATAAAGTGATGTAAGCACTGGAATACACGATGGGTTAAGTTCATGCAGTTCTGAAATTAGAGTCCACTCATGAGTGCACTGTAAAATTCTAAAATCAATGCCACTGGCAACATGCACTAATGAGGCAGACAGAGTCAGTTTGGGTCAATACATGTTCTTATGACATAGAACTGGCACGCAGATAAGGACAGCATTGGCTTCCTGCTCCAAGGAGCCTCCACAAGATCCTGCTGAGCAGTATCGATACTCCTTTGGATTTAGTGATTATAAAGACAGGTTAAGGTGCTTGAGATCAGTTTTTTTCAAACTCTACGGTGAAAAATTGTGTGGCAGCCATCATCCCATGAGCAAAGAGTGGAAAGAAGGCATCACATGTATCGTAGCACAGCATGGAGTTAAGCAGGGTGTTACCAGATGTCCTCTTTAGCTCCGAGATAGCACTGAAAGTTGGTTACCAGCTGCTCACGGGGGTCAGCACTCCCACAGCTGGGATGAGCTGTGCAGGTGAGTGCTCCTCCTCCATTACAAGGCCAGGTTGATCAGCTTGGCCTAAACCTCTGGTGAAGGACAGCGGGCTCCAAGAGTTCCCAGAAAAATGAAACAGAGGCACAGCAGGCTCTGTTGGGGCGCAGGGTAAGGGGAACACTCAGCCGACCCTTCTCTGCACATTTCACAGCAGAGAAAACACGCATCACTGGGGCTAAACTCAGCAACAGGCTCATGTTCACGTCTTTGAAGCTAAAGGCTTTTTCAACTTAAAATCAAGAGTGCTGTGCTGAGCTAGAACTGGGGAGGAGGCATGGCTGTGCACCTCTGCACACACAACATAGCATCCTCGCTCACGTAGAGTCACAGACAAATTTTATCTGATTTACCCCTTAATCAACACACTAAACAAAGAGCTTTAGAAACAAGACAGACCAAATCTGATCCATAGTTCTGTTAGCCCAGCATATTGTGCTGGCCACTCCTGAATGCAAGATGCTTCAGAAGATATTGCTAGAAAACCTGCATTAGATAGATAAGGAATAACCTCCCCTAAATACTAGATTTTCTTACCTATAATATTTTGACTCGGAAGGCTGAGTTTTGAACATAGAAGCTGTCTCCCAAATACTTCCCAACATCCTCGTTTTTGTGTACTTCTCCTTGAAGCATTGCTGACTTTTTCACCTCAGTGACAACCGTGACTGTACTTCTGTAGTTTATTTACAGATTGAAAGCTAGGAGAACCAGGGCTGCACTGCCTGAAGTTCATGGTTAAGGCCCCAAATAAGGCAAGGTTGTTGGCTCTCTCTCAGACATGGAGTAAGAGACCATAACCATGGTACGTAATGGTGACATTGCTACTACCTTCTTTTCCCCATACGAGAAGGATTCCTTTGCCTGGGTAAGAGGTACAGAGCTCAGCACAAGACACCCGCGACTCAGAAAGTCACGAGGAGGGGCTGACTTACCGAAACGCTCTGTTCATCATCTCATAGTGAAAGTGCTCAGGAGCCAGTCCTACCACCACTGCATTGGGGTCATCGGTGGCTATCCCTGGAAAATGAAAACATGACTCTGAGCGAACAGAATTTTATTCGTACTTAGCAGTACATAGTCAACAAGTGCAATTAATCACTTTACAGCAAAAATGAGCATTTTCTGACACAGAGTAGTTTTATGTTAGGAAAGCACCTGTGGAAAAGGCGTTGATCTAATCAGACTCTGCTGTCCTTCACGATGAACACAACTCTGCAGCTGTACAGTCTTAACAGCGACTGTCGAATGGCAATTCTCTCACTGAAACGCAGCAGACCGCACAAATCACTTTAACTGAATGACTTTTTGTTATCTGAGAATCTCTTTCGACAAATATTCATCTGCTTTGTAAGACAGTAAAGCAGGAAGACTAGTTTTTCTATCCAGTTTTTCTATTCCCTCTAGTCACAGAGAACTCCACTTAGGGTAAAAAGCCTGACTGTTGTTCTACGTATCAGTCTGGTTATGATAGCAAAGATGGTACTGCAGCATGATCTAGAAGTTGTTACACTAGATTAGTTTGGGCTCTTCTGGAAGGTCTTTTTTTTTTTAATGTGGATTAGTCGCCTTGAGAACAGCTTGCACCTCCTTTGTCCTGCACTGCTCCAGAGAAGCATGACTGTTTTTATGTGGCAGTGCCACCTCTGAACAGAACCAGCAATGGAAGCACAGTAGCATCTACAGGAAAAGTGGGAGTACCAGAGAGTTTCATTTATGACAGGTTAAGTTATCAGCTGCAACCTGCACTTACTGGGTTTTTTGTTCCGCCTGCACACAGCTTACCCTCTACACCTTTACTGGTACAACTTACAACTAGAGCTCCTGACTCTCCAGAGTGTGTCATTGCAGCCTGCTGGCTGATGCTTCCTACTGCGTGTCCTTCAATTAGCTCAGAGAGCAAAATGTATGCTCAGAGATGCCATGTGGATTTGTGACACCACCTAAAAGCATCTGGGACCTTTAACCAAGAATGGATTACATTAATCTATCTGCAACCAACTTTATAGAGAAATTAGCCAAGAATAGTTCAACAGCAGCCATTAACGGGAATTTAAAGCATTCTCCATTGTACTTAAATGTTTCAAGAGCAGCACTGAGAGAATATGAGCCAAACTGCTTGTAGCAAAAAGAAACAAAACAATCCATTCCAGATAATGCCACCAATGTACTCTGCCCATATCTCTGCCTTTGCCATCTTCTACAAAATTACCATCAGCTACTGTAAAACTGATAGAAAGATCCCAGATATATGGAGATTAAACTGACTTAAATACTTTCAGTGAAATAGCTGCTGTCTCTGCTGTTTCTGACCCGAGAAAGCCTTCCTGAGAACACAAATACAGAGTATTGCTGGGGGCATATTTCTCTGGACACCATGTTAGGTAGAACAGATTATCAGGTTTCATCACTCTCAAGAGCCCACAGAGGCTTTTCTCCTAAAAACTTATCTTCTGAAGATTACTGGCTAGACTATGGCACTAAAATTTAACAGGAAACATATAGCTCCCAGCAAGACCAGAACCTACTTAAATTACGCAGCCGTAAGGATTTCAGTTCACAAGGCAAGGGGCAAGGAGCAGTGGCAAGCCATCCATGTTTTTGCTACTTTGACTTTAAACAAAAGACTGAATATACAAGATATGGTTTTCAACTCCAAGTATTTTAAAAACAAGGGTATCTTCACTGTTCTCGAAACAACAATGTGGTTAAGTCAAGGACTAGCTGTCCTAGCTTCAGGCACCTGCCAGACATGTCCAAGTTAGAATATATTATCTCCTATTCCCCTTATTGTTGAGGGATGGAAATGGGAACACCTGAAAGTAAAGCAAGTTTTTAAACAGGTTTTTAGAGATGTCAATCCAGAGAAGTCAGGGCAATGAACCTTCTGTCACCAATTAAGGTATCAAAGTACATGGAGTGAGACCTAGATGTTCAATACAAAATAAGTAACAATAATTACCTGGGGATTTTACATTTAATAATAATCTATTAAGAGAGAAATAGTTTCCCAGTGTGCCTACACACTGGCTTTTCAGCTCTTTACCAGTAAAACCTCTGTGCAATACCTGAGGGAAACCTGATTTCCAACAAATTGATACATCCTTGCTACAAAACAAATCAGCACTGGTAGGTGCAATAAATGTCCAGTGATCTAGTGGTAAGTATTTTTTACACTGGAAATTAATAAAAAGTATTGAGTTCTACCCAAATTCCTGATCATCTGAAGCCTTTTGCTGCCATCACCACTACTCCTCAAGAAGCTATGGCTTCAGACTGTGTAACGTTAATTTAAAAGAAGAAAGCACCTTTATGACTCTGGAGAGTTCCACATTTCAAGCTTCATCATGGCTAGTGACGTACATGATTGTCATTCTACAAAACAGAGAGCACTACATTTCCTTAGTTGTTCAGTAACTTCCCCCATGCTGTTTTCTGACCACCTCACCTGTGAAATCAGGCAGGGCCTTATCGTCCACCAGGAGAAGAGGCCGCACCTGCTTTTGCTCCAGAAGATTTCTGGCTGCTGTCAGCGACGTGAAGATCTCATTTTCTGCAATGTCAAATCCCAGCTTTGTCAACCTCTCCAGCAGGTCTCTCTTGCACTCCTTCGTTGTGTTTGTCACAAATCGAATGGTAACAGGAGCGCTGCGCAGCCTGATGGGTGAAGAGCAAAGGCAAATTGGCCACAGAATCCCTCTATTTACACATTTGTACATCTCTTTGGGACTTTAGACTTTGTCTAAAGGCTGCAGATGAAAAGACTGTATACATCCCAGAGTGCTGGTGCCACTCAAGAACCACCAGATTGTTAACTTCTGTGGACTGGAAGGTAATGTGAAACAGATGGCAAGAATTAATGTTCTGGCTCCAAGAACAAGACCATGTCTCCCCTGCTTTGCTTCTACCAGGAAAAGTCTGGCAAAAAACTCCATCTTCATAGTAGTAACAAACACATCTATGATCAACCACAACTAGTTTGAAAAGTCTTTTAATTCAAACTAGATAATAATTAAACCAGCCCTGTATTCTGGATCAACAGCATCCTGAACAAAAATAAATAAACCAAATAATCTTGTTCCTAAATTGATATATTGAACTCCACATGCTGAGCGAATTTCACAGCAGCTGTGGCTCATTCAGAGATGCAGCATGCTCTAGGAGCCTGTGTCACCTGTGTGGCAATTTCATGTCAGCTTTTGCAGCCATTCCTCCCTTTACTGAGGAACACCAACATCACATAAAACCACATTATTGCCCTACACTGACAGTACATGCTACCAAACAATCAAATAATTTTAAGTGACAATTTCAACGGCATTCCCTTTAATTATTCCCCCACCATCACTTTCCCTCTTTGTTGCTATGGAAACAAACACTGGTATCATGACTGCATGGAGAACATCAGATAAAGTTGGTCAGAGCTGGAGACCTGCTTGCACCTGCCACTTCTTTCTCTTATTTGTCAGATATGCTGACCCTTCACAAGTATGAACTAGTAAAAAAGTCCCCTGGCTGCTAACATTTTTTTTTTTTCCTAAGGACTTCAATACTGAGAAGTAACACTACAAATTAAGTTTATCCATTTGTTTCCCCCAGCAAGCTGCATGTCAATCATTTCAGCTTCACTTTAGGAAGGACAATGACATGGATTAGCAGAAAAGAGTGTACGAAAGTATTTTTTTCAAACCCCTAAGAAAAAAGACTTGCCTGTTCCTTGCAGCGAAATGACACCTGCTCTCCATACCTGCGACAGCAGGTTGAAGCTGACAAAGAGCACCAGGCTCCCTCTGCACTTTACCCCTTCTCTAACCTCCTCCCTTGCCAAAGCCAGACAGGGCCTGCATGAGCAGGGGAATCAAGCAGAAGACAAAGGAAAATCAGGGACTTTAAAAACAATTTGTCTTGTGATTCTACAGAAACCATTTCTTCTGTTGAGTCTACTGCCTGGAGGTTTGGAGATGACCAGTTGACAGGACAGATACCGAGCTCTTCTAGACAATATCGTCACTTTTATATACATAGATTTTCAAGAATGCTGACTCTCACCTGGCGTAAGTTCTCCCTGCAGCAAGAAACACCAAGCAGACAAGGTCCAGGGAATGAAAGGGTAATGAATGAGTACCCAACACTTCAGCAGTTTTTACTTCCCTGCAATTTTACATCTTTAGTAGATAATTATTTCCACTGAATTATTTGTGAAAAGAAATACAGAATTTCCTAATCCCTCTGACCAACAGCCTAGCTTTATAAAAACCAAAGCAGCCAATACAACTCCAGTAAAAACTTCTCATCCTTAATTCAACTCTGTTCCTCTTCGCCAATTAGTTCTTGCTGTCCCAGCAACTTAAGGTATCCTCCCTCCCTCACCATGATAGCATGTATCACTTTGTGTTTTTCTTCATTCACTGCAAAACGTCTTCTCCAGGAAAACACTGTCATAACACAGCACAAAGACCCCTCGTGTTGCATATACTATTTTGCCACTAACTCAGCCAGATTAACTCATTTTACTATGCCTTAGTTTCTTTAGCCACCTTTTCATCAAAAGAGAAAGCGGTACTTAACTGTCCTGTTTATTACTGTGTTGAAATTCCTACAAAAGATGGGCTGTATTATCAAATGTTTCTCAAACTAAAAAACAACTGAGGTAGTTTACATAGCAGAAAGAACTTCAAAAATAATAAAGCAAAGCTTTGGCTGAAAGACCGAATGAAATGAGAACTCCGCAAACGATACCTTACTCATTAGACCAAGTTATCCTCTCTGCTATTCCACTTTAGCTTACCACAGGGCTAAGGGCTCAGACAAACAATCAGGTTCTTGTAGTTAAACAAAGCACCCAGGAACAGCTCAGCTGAAATGACTTTCGTGTAGAGGGGGTAATTCAGGTTAATTTTCCCCTTTGGCTAAGGCTATAGTCCTGTAAGAATTAGCAGAAACACGCTGAATGCTGTCTTTCTCTATCTAAAAAAGACCTAGAGAGCAACACAGGAAAGCTGTCGGGGCTCACGTGATACACAGCAACTTTTCAGTATCTAAGCCCTTTGCCAATTTCTCTTGGTGTGAATACGGGTGTAAATAAAAGCAGAATTTGGCTGCATACATGCTTATCCACAACGGTGTAAGAAGGCAGAAGCTTCAGGCCTGTTTACCTAAAGAAGCGTCTTTGTGCAAACTGTGCTGACATAACCTATAAGAGGAAATCGAAAAAGGTAGCTTGCCTTTTAAGAGCTTCCTGCGCGCCTGGCACAGCTGAGTCTTCAATGTGAAGTGTGCCGCTGAGATCCACCAAGACAGCTTTCAGCGCACGCCGAGCTGCCATCCTTCGTTCCCCAGGGAAAAGGCAAATAAATGAAACAACAGAAAACTGGTTAGCAGACAATGGATAATAAAAATAAGGAACTCAGTTAAGCGCCTCATTTGTGCCAAGCCCGGTATTACTCAGAACATTACTCGCAGTATTAAATGGGCCCCTTTAGACAGAGAAATAAAAGGCAGTGTTTAAAAAAAATACATAATTGATGGGGTGGTATTTTCCCAAAGACTTTATATATGGAAATCAGGTGCTATTTGTTTTTTAAGTGCCTTTATTTTTGCGCGTCAAAAAATTCTCTAAACAACTAAGACTGTTGGGAAGAGGATCATTAGGTCTGGTATTGCTGGTTCAAGGCCTCAGCAAGCACATTTCAGCAAGTCCCATCGACATCAACAGCACCGTTCAAGTAAAAATAAATACAATACTACTAAGTGATGACACAGTGCTCTGACTATAAAGCTCAAAATGCTCTGCAAAAGTGGATATTGTTAATTTTATTTTTGCAAGCAAGATCTATGGTGATCCAGCCCACAATTCAGGTGCCCTAAACTCTTAGCAATTCAGTGGTTGACTGCCTGTGTGCCAGCGTGGATTTAGCCTGGAAGCTCACAAGGCTCAAGGACATTCAGCACCTCAAAGGGTTACGCTCTCTTCTTGTAAAGGGACAGTCAAGCAGTTTTTCTACAGCAAGTTTTGGTGTCACACAAACAGGTATGGGAGACTCAGCCCAAAACAGAAGTCAGTGTTCAAAGGGTAAATGCATTGTGGAAGAAAAAGGTGAGGTTACATGCAAGTCATCTGGCTAAAAAGCTGACTTCAGAAACTGGTACTTCTTATGTGGGCTGCAAGTGCTGTACTTTGCTCCACAAGCAAGTCTGCTGAGCTATTTCTTCACAAATGTCCAACAGGGGAGCTTTTCTCCTGTTTGTTAGACGTTACAACTATCTGATCTGTCATCATGATTTTATGTTGAGCCCTTTTGGTTACAGACAGAACATGTAACATGTATATACTTCAAAAAAAAACACCAGCAGAGTAGTCAACACCATGATTAGAATCTGCCTTAATAAATTTCATTTTCCATCAGTACAGTTTTATCTTTGTGGACAGTTTTGTCAATGATCAAGATCATGTGAACTTGTCTCAGGTACAAGACACACATGCAGAAAACTTTGAGATTCCACTTTCATTGTTCCTGTTGGTTCCCTGCAATAAGGAAAAATAAATAAAAATGCTTATTTTATCCTACGTCTGTTGCTACACAGGCCAAGCTTAAATGTCTGTGATACAAAACTGCTAACACGACTCCTAAGGGAGCCTCACCAACCACATGGGAAAAGAGGACACCAGGTTTCTATGACATCGTCTCCGAGTAAAATACTTCTCTTCTTGCAGACAAAGGGCCTGAGCAAAACAGAATTTGCATGACTCAACATTATCTCCATGACAAAAAACCTCTCTTCCCTCAGGCACTTTAAGTCCAGCACAGGGACTTTTGAGTGCTGAAAGAGATTAAAAAGAGAACTGAAGATGCCATTGTATAAATTCTCTAGCCAAAGACACACAACGGCAGAGAAACTGCACTATGCCTGCATGGACAGCACAGCTAAGGAAGGTGATAGATAGAATAACCTAGGTTGGCTGAAATGGAATTTTTTTTTTTTTTTT